AACACGTACGAACTTATAAATTAATTTAATAGAAATTATTTATAATATTTCATAGTTGGAAAATACAATTTCTAATAATTTTCATCGAATAATTATTATTTAATATCAAAAATTTATCATTAAACGTATTAACGTTTGAGTAAATTAGTTTGACGATGAAAAATGTGTATTAATGCTGTTATTAACATATTCCTAGAAAAAAACACGAATGCACTTATAAATTAATTTAATAGAAATTATTTATAATATTTCATAGTTAGCAAATACAATTTGTAATAATTTTCATCGAATAATTACTATTTAATATAAAAAAGTTATCATTAAATGCATTAACGTTTGTGTAAATTAGTTTGACGATGAAAAATGTGTATTAATACGATAATAAATGAAAATCATTTACCTTTTAGATGTACCACAGCTGGTATTAGGATCAAAAGAAGAGTTAATCGGAAATTGTAAGACTTCATTTTGTGGGTTGCGTTCGAATAGTGTGTCACACTCTGGCAGTCAACGTTTTAATGCTCTCGCTTTCCCACCTCATGGGACTATATAAACCTATAAGATAACTGACTATCGCATACTAACACGCGCGCGCATCAACGTTCCAATGAAAAAGTGAAAGAGTGAGTGAGAGAGAAATAGAGAAAGAGAAAGAGACATATATACATATACACATACATATACGTACACATCTGTTTGACGCCTAGCATTTTATTATCTCTATCTTTTCCCTACTCTCTCTCTCTGTTTCTCTCTTTATCTTCATCTTTATCTCTATCTTTACATCTATTCTTTCTATTATATCTTTCTAGTAAAAATATTATCAATAATATAACCGTTGATCACACATGAAAAAAAGCAAAGGATAATGCATAGATTTGTATGTTAGTAATAGTATACTTTATGGTTAGTATCTTTTAGATAATTTTACGATAATATTCTAGGATTGTTTGAGATTTTTTTTATCATTTTGTTTGCCCTTTTTCATTTCTTACTCTTATCTTCAAAAATTTTGTTCAAACCTTTAAACTTTTTGATTTAACCTTCGGCCATATTGACTCACAAAAGGCTGGAAATTCGAGAAATTTATTATTAACAATTATTATTTTAGGATTGTTTGTACTGAATGATTTTTGTTATTTTATTGAAGTGAAAATTTCTTTAGAATCAGGGTGATCTGAAAATCGTGAAACGGAAAAACGTGAAACGGATGAAACCGTGAAATCGATGAAAGAAAAATAATTAATTAATTAATTAATAAAAAATTTGTATATATAAAAATTCAGTGTCACAATATGTTTGTCCACTAATAATTTCGAAACTACTCAACTTATTTTAATGAAATTTATTTTATTTCACGTGATTTTTTTTCTAACTTAGCACATAGCACAATTTTTATCGCGATTTTTAAAAAAATTATTTTTTATTACTAATTTAAAGATTTTAATTTAGAGGTTATCTAGAGTTTCTGTAAGGTTCTTTCAATAGATTGCGCTATATTACAATTCAATTGTTTCGATATATTTACGTCACGAAGCTTGGTTTTCTTTGAAGGTTTCACTTCCATCGTGAGTGTGTGTGTGTTTTTTTATTATTTTCCTTATTTGTCACGTTATATTTTCGAATTTGTTAGAAGATAAAGGTAAAATTGACTATGAAAATTTGAAACGATATTACTATGTTCATTTTTAAGATCGTTAATTTTATTAGAAAGATTATTATTATTATCCTTGTATTTAGAATACAATTTTTATTTTACGATCAAATTCCTTATTTCGATATTCTTTGACGATGTTCCACGTTCATGGTCGCTATTGGATATTTTATTTATTTATTTTTCTTTTTTTATGGGGCTGATATCGTAATATTTATCTTGTTTAATGTAAGATTAAATTATGAATGAACCTTGCGATAAAATTATTTCCATGAAGAGATTGAGAAGTTTGTTTGTTTTTTTTTTGTTATAAATCAAATGTCTTAAGTTATTTTCATTCAAAGTGTGTATGCATGGATTATGATAATTTTCTTAGAATAATTATTATTTATTACTTTGTCAATGAAAAGAAAACATTTAAGATAATCTTTCGTAAAAAAAAGAAAAGAAAACATGCAATATAAGGAAATCTCGTAAGTATTCTTGAAACGGTTCTTCACCGTACTTAAAACTGATAAAACTTATTTGGAATACTGATGCGTGCATATAGACACATTAAATGAGTCATAGGAGTGTACACCGTAAAGAGAAAATGGGTAATTCACCGATGTTAGTTGTGTTGTTAATCTTGATAATGATGATGATGATGATGATGATGATGATGGGAGAAATTTTTCTGACATTTTAGTTTGTGCCATTTAGATTGTAATATCAAGTCGTCTTGTGCATCGTATAATTGCATACGATAACACATGACACTTTATTTCCTATTATTTGTTGTATTATCAGTTTTTTTTTGACTAAAGTTTAAGATAAAAAAATGAACAATTAGAATGGCCATTAAAATACTTACTACACATGTTCAATCACACGTTGTTTATTAAATATCGGAGCACACATATTTGTTCATAGTATGGTAAATACAAAAAATAAATAAAAATGAATATAATAGAGATATCAGTATAGGTCAGG